TAAAGCCGTGTTTAGGGTTTAGGGTTTAGGGTTTAGTATAAAATCCTTGACAATTTCAGACAAACCCCTTGCAAAGTCCTTGTGTGCCCGGGTAAATCTGTATAAACTACATAAGCCCATACAGTAGCCATCCTTTCAATGCCTTCTCCAGCCTTTATAAACCTGATCACGATACTTCGGGGCCCGGTGCAGACTTGCCTGGGTCCTTGTTGGCTACCAAATTTGACATTTTTGCTGTAGGAAATCCCAACAAGGATCAAAGCATGATCAATTTTGATATAAGAAATCCCAACAAGGATCGGCAAATGGTCATTTTTGATATAGCCCCAAGAGGGAACAAGTTGCAAAGTCACTAAAGGACGACCCGTACTTCGACAGCTGGGACGCTTCCAGCCACAACGCCCGGTTCTTGGCTCTCTTCCGTTGAGTATAGTATATGGGTAGTTCTGTAAATAGGGTTCAGGCTTTAGGGGTTAGGGATGGGTAGTTCTCTAAACCAGTCGGGTCCCTTATGGGGTGCTTGTTATAAAAGCTTCTAGAGGACCCGAACTTATCCTGCTCTCACTGCCTTCATTTGGAAGACGGGTTTCTACGCGCATTGCTGACATATATATATATATATATACACATATAAATAAATAAATAAATATATACATATATATATATATATATATACACATACATATATATATATATATACACACATATATATATATACACTTGTACTGTAAGGTACCCCAAAACCCTAGTCTACAGTCTATCTATTGGGACCCCTATCGTTCCTAGTCTGCTATTGAGGCTCCTATCGTTAGTCATGGAGGAGGTTGTTGGGCCAGCGTTGACCCGCACCCTAAACCTAAACCCTAAACCCTAAACTCCTAAACTCTAAACCCTTAAACCCTAAACCCTAAACTCCCTACCCCTAAAACCCTAAACCCTAAACTCCTTATACCTTATGCCTCGCCTGGATTGTCCGAGTGTGAGAGCCGAAACTCCTTATACCTAAAACCCCAAACCCGCAAGGACTCTGCACACAGCTCTCTGACGAGCGTCGAGTTCCTGACGAGACGGCTGTTTTGGTTCTTGCATCGGTAGTTACATTGGGTTTAGGGTTTAGGGTTATGGTTTAGGGTTTAGGGTTATGGTTTAGGGTTAGGGTTTAGGGTTTAGGGTTTAGGGTTTAGGGTTATAGTTTAGGGTTTAGGGTTCAGGTAAATAGGGGTTAGGGGTTCAATGTTCCCTTAAGCCTTAGAATGGTAACAAGGAGCCCTAAGTTACAATATCGGAACGTATTCTGGTCACTAAACCCTAAACTATAAAAATGATAACTAGGAGCCCTAAGGGACCATCTTGGAATATAGTCTGATGTTGTTTTTGAGATCCGGTCATGCCTAGACCCGACGTGCGGTCGTTCTGCTGTTGGATATTGTTGCAGAGTAGCCTATGTTTAAAGATCGACAAGTTCGAAAAGGCAGCTAACCTTGTTATTATGAGAAGACAAAAAAGGCAGCTAACCCTATGACATGAAAAGGAAATGAAGTCAAGGGTCTAGGTAGAGTTTCATCGTTTTTACACTCCCGGATCATGCTTGATGGGCGACTTTTCCTCGAGATGTTTAAGCGCCTTCGTCTGCAATGTCTATGGCTGCAACGAGGCTTTCGAGCAAGCGCCATCACAACAAATCATGTTTTATCCCACTCGGCTGTATAAGAAGTGGGTGAAGCATCGACATCGGCACTTGCACAGGATGGCATCCCCAGCCGTTGTAAATGCACCGAAGTTTGAAATCACATGCAGGAAGCTTGTGCGAGCAAGCTGCTGATGTCAAGCCACCCACTCAGGAACCGAATACAGCTATGGTTCCTCTGACGACCGTCGATGGGTTCTGGGTTGCGTCAGCTTTCCGGAACACACAAAGTTTGATCTGGATCTTGCCCACAGAACGTAGCATGAACTGAATGGCTCGGAGCAGAGCGCACCCACAACTATGGCCGAGACCACACAGACTCCCTGCCGGCGTTTGAAGACAGCAACTGTCTCGTACGTCATGTCCATGCGACCTGTTTCATTCATAATGTTGTCACATGGTGCACAACTTGGCTCTCTTCTGCCTGACTATGATTTACCTTTGGGGTTCCCATATGGCTCATAGTGTCGAGGCTGCATGCCCAAAAGGCTTTGAGAAGTCAGCCAAGTAAGTTTGCGATCCTGATGAGTCGGTTTCGGAACAGTCCCAAGAGCTGCCGGAAAGGATCTTCAGGCGCAAGCCCATGGCTCAGGGCTTATAGGGTTTAGGGCTGCCGGAAAGGATCTTCAGTCATGGATATATGACCATTGGAGGACCCCCCCCCCCCCCAAGTAATCCTTCGGGTTGGGCCTCCTATTCGTCGACAGCTGGTCTTGCCCACCTTCTCATACACCCGCAGCTGAGACATGATAGAGTGGTTCTGCATCTGTAGCTGCGTTTGGGACCCTATGCAAAACCCGACATTTCCCTACCATCTTGGTCTGTTGTTGTTGTTGTTGGGCAGATCGCAACATGCGACCTCAACAAATCCTGCGGAACCCTGCGAGCCCCTCTCGTAGCTCTGCTAAATCGCTCTGCACAGTGAGTCCGACAAACGACACCCAGGGACACGGAGAAGTCACTGCACCTCGTGGTTTAGGGTTTAGAGAGTTTAGTGTAGAGGTTTAGGGTTTTTTCGCGAAGGCTGATTTTTAGTCGTATCCATCATGTACAGTCCTGGTGCTTCTAGGATATTTTATTCCAAACTGTTTTCCTTACTGAAGTCTAATTAATAAATGCGCTCTGTGGGGGCGGGGGGGGGCATATATTGAAGTTTCTCTAAGAAACCCATACACAGGTCTCAACTTTCTCGGTCAGGTTTTGGTGCCTCAAGCTCCAGCCCAAGCCATTTGAACGACTCAATCGGCTTGGAACTTAGGGGGAAGATGAAACCTGGCTGAAGGATTTTGATCTTGAGATGCACGGGTTCACGTGGAAGCTTGGTCCCAGCCTTTGAGGTGGGGTTAGAGTTTGTCCTATATGACTCGAACTCTCAACTGTCATGAGTAGTATTGAATTAATACCTCGGGAACTGTCCACTATAGGGATCGGAATAATTGCTCATCGTATCCCTTATAGTTCCCTTGAATTTATCCTTGCCTGGCACAGTCCGAGAGTGCATCAACAAGTATATCCTCTAAGGCACCGCCAAAACGCTGTTTCTAAGTACTAGAGCGGGGACACCAGTCCTTTCTGAAGTATTAAGGTAACTCTGTTACACCTTGTCGTGCGACTCTGTGAGGACTTGCTGTGCTGCAAGGAGATTCAGGCAGACGGCATTGCAGAGCTTGTGATCCGTTTTGCTTGCTATAGAAACTATAGAGGCCTGAAGAATTACCAATCTTGCTCCTTAGGGTTGATTCTTACAGGGATGTTTGTGAATGTTTGAACCGCTAACTTAGTAGTAGGGTAAGTAACCTTTAACCCCTTGAGGGTACTATAACCTCTTTATAATCCCAAAGGCTAACCGCTAAAGTAGTCCCATGTGAGAGCTGCTGTAAGCTTAGGTTCACTGGATAAGATAGGAGCTCTAAGCCGTATTGGCCTTAGAAAAAACGAGTGACGGCAGTCCCTAAACCCGAAACCCTTATAGCTCTTATCCCGAGAAGCCACCTCTGATGGCAGGCCTCGAGCTCATTCATCGCCATGGAGGTGGCTTCATGATGTCCTTTACGGGGCATTAATATTAGGATCCCTAGCCTATGCGTTTAGGGGTTTAGGGCTTAGGGTTTAGGGTTTAGGGTTTAGGGGTTTAGGGTTTAGGGGTTTCCTAGCCCATGCAAGTGAGGGCATCTCTATGTCTAGGACAATCCTCTTCAGCGTTAGGATATCTGTGTTGACCTTTACGATTTCTAGGATCCTCTGAAAAACCGCAGTCAGGAAGAGATGGTTTATGAATCAGTGGTGAGACTCTGGATTCGTCTCTAGCTTAAGTTCTGGGCTCTATACTTAATTCTCCCACACCAAACCTTCAAACCTCTCCGGTTCCTACAACTCAGAAAACTCAGTCTCCATCGCGTGACCTTTTTGAAGCAGTTTTGGACCCCAGGGCGACCAGAAGCAAGTGACGAGGTTTTCGCACTGCTGCCACTGTTAGAACCTCAGTAACCGTTACAGGAACCCCTCAACCAGCCGACAGAGAATCCCAGATAGGGACCAAAAAAGCGAGCGGTAGAGCTGAACTTCTTTGGCTTGAGGACACTGCCCTTGGTACGGGTCGATGTGGGGGCGAGGGCAGTCAGGCAGTTTTAAAGGAACCCGGCATGGAGCGCCACATCTTGAACCCTCAACAGTCAATCCTCAACTCTCTGGGTTCTTGCAGCCTAGAAATGCGGGTTTCCGAATATAGTATCCTAGATAATAGGATCCTTAATATAAGGACCCCAAAGTAAGGTACCCCTAATTTTCGGAAAGTCCCAAATAAGCAAGAGATCACAGCAGCCCGGGCTTCGACCGTGGTCCTTTGTTGTTTTGCTACTTTCGCAGGGGATGCACCGAATCAAGCCCGACAAACCTGCACCTACCTGAGCCGTAGTTCCAAGCATTGACCCTTACACCAAAAGCTTTCGGATTCTACGCACGAAGTTCAAAGCCGGGCATCAGACCTTGCCGATCGGGGCTTGAAGACTCACGATGGTCTGTGTGCACCACCAGATGCCGGAACACCTTAGCTGTCGACGCTAAACCGCGAAACACCTAAACCCAAAACCCGAGGTGTCATGCATTGACTAGTCTAGGATACCTGGCGCCGGGCGCAGCAAGATTTCAACTAGGGCTCAGGGCTCAATAGGACCATCGACCTCTTAAATCGGTTTGCACTACTCGCTGAATAGATGGCACAGAGAGTTATACACATATATTTTTCTATGTATACACATGTAGAAGCAAGCGCAAGCAAGCACAAACAATCAACAAGGATAATAATTCAACTAACAACTGCTCGAAAACACATACAGCTGTTGTACAACGCAATTTCAAAGTGGGTGCTTACGCTCTCGTATAGTTAGTTCGGTACACATACATACATACATACATACATACATACATACATACTTACATACATACATACATACATACATACATACATATATATATATATATATATACATACATACATATTCTTTTTATGTATGCTCATGTATTTCGCCAGTGTAAATGCGGTAGGGACAGCTCTCCAGGTGCTGCTTTTGTGCCTCGCGATCCGCAGGACCGCGCTGCCAGGATCTTTAGTACGTGGAAGACGGCTTGTTAGTTCGGGTTAGGCTGCGGCTTAGGGCTTAGCATAAATTACTTATACTTATATAGGCCTTAAGGTGCCTATATAGGGACCCTTCAATCCTGTAAGGGCTCAGCATGTGCTATATGGGTACATGGAGCCTTTGTGGTTGGGTTTTAGACTTTGAGAAAGTTTATTGCTGTGGAAGCAACCTGTGCTGTGGACATTTCACTTCCGTCGCAAGCCTCAGCTCACCACGGGTTCCACCCTGAACCCTAAACCCTTTATATTGCTTTCTGGGCTTAGGCTTTAGTAACTCCCTGAAGCCCTGAACCCTGAGCTCCAGACCTAAACCCTCCCTAAACTCCGTGGCCGTAGTAGATCCCTGGCCCCTTCAACCCTACGAATCTCTCTCTCTCTCTCTCTCTCTCTCTATATATATGGTCGCCCCCCCCCCGTTGACAGGCCATGCCCACTCAACTGAGTCGATGTGCATGGTGTGTCATCGGATG